AAGGACAACTGAACAACCAGTACCACTGCTTTTGTAGCCACTACATAGCATACTAAACACTGGTCTAACCCCGCCCAGTAGCTATCTTCATTATGGAGAAGGACTTACTTACTGTTCAAAGGTCATAATTGTACCTCCCTATACTTTTAAGTCATTGCATTTGCTCAGTTGTCATTCTTGAGTATGTGACTGTGCCAAGCTGGATGGTGTGAAAGAGTCCTGCCTCTGAAATTTGCTAGGAACAAATTACCCTTCCCCATAAGACCCAGATTTGGTGCCAGTGCTGAATCCAGATCACCAAGCAAGACATGCCCAACCATTCTAGGCCCTTTAATGTTCTTTCCAAAAAACTTTATTTCAGTCCACCAAAATATATCAGTGTTAATGACATTAATCCTCAAAAGAGAGGAGCCACTGGCAAATTTTCCAACTCTTACGAGCTGTAGACACTCAGGGCTATGGTGAGGGGGACACCACCTTTGTCAGACCACAAACAAAAATCCCCGTTAATGCTCCCCTAGGTGTCTACTGGCCTTACATTTTTGCTACTAAGAGATGCACACACATATATATATATATATTCCTATCATAAAGAAAAACTGCTCCAAAGCTGCAGCTGGATATTAAAGAGGCTCGCAATGTCATGGGAAAATACAAAATATGAAATACATCTCCCAACCTGTTAACTGTATGATACGCCAGTTCTTGTTCTCTAGAAATCAAAGAATGAGTCCTAGAAACAATGGAGGTTAAAAGTAGGAAGATATTTATTGATGGGAAAGCCCCTGAGAGTCAGCAGGGGTCCTGAATGGGTAGCCCAAGGACCCCACTTTACATACCTTTTATAGGGTAAAATCCACATGGGTACAATGTGGACCACAGCTATAAACATCCAGTAAGGTTACAAGTATAGTCACTCAGGTAATGGTGGTCCAATTGGGAGGCAAGTCACATAGCAAGCGTGGATGGAAAGAACAAGGGTTCTCCTAGGAGGCGGTGGGTCCAGAGGTCTCTGGTCACCCCCAGGGTAGTCAATGCCTATCTATACTTCACTGAGCCCTGTTCTTTGAAGAAATTGGTCATCTTGTCGCCATCCTGAGGCCTGGTTTTCAGCCGACACACAGTTGTGGTGTGTTTCACCTTTGTCTTGGCTCTCTCAAGGGCTTGGCCCTATCTGCCTATAATATTTCTACCTAGCTCATCTATCTATAATGGCACCGCATTTTGAAATGTCATCTCACCACCAATTCTCAATTACATCTAATGTCTCTTCAAGGCAAATATCATTCTCTCTGTTAACCATCCTAGCAATGAAGAGTTTAAGAGACTCTTTTTTACCAGGGCAACACAGTCTGAAAAAGCTAGACTTTATAACACAAAAATCTTAGTGTTTAATAAATACATTTAAAATATACCACTCCCCACCAAAAGCTCTTTAATGCTGCCTTCTAGTCATTCTTCAAACTCAAATAGTCATTCATTCTCATAGTTCCTGGCTTTGCCTGCTTTTCAACCTTAGATAAATGAAATCACAGTATTTACGCTTCTGTACTTTGTTTCACTCTACATTGTGAGTTTACATGTACAGTTTGTTCAATTTCATTGTAATTTAATATTCTATTATGTAAACATACAACAATTTATCCTTTCTACTTTTGATGAGCATTTGGGTAGCTTCAAATTTGAGGATATTATAAATCCTACCACAGTGGACATTCTAGTATTTTGTCTTTTAAAAAATACATGTACTCATATATCTTGGGTATATACCTAGGGTAGAAAAACTAGTCATAGTATATGTATTGTGTTCCACTGGCAAGTTCTAACCAGGTACTATTTGAGCGTTTTGCACGTACCAACTCATTTAATCCTCATAATAGTCTTATAGTAGAGGAAGTACCATTAGCTTCAATTTTTCCAAACAAGAAAATAGAGAAACAGAGAGATTAAATAGCAAAACCAGCCAATAAATGAATTGGGTCTTAAACTCAGGAAGACTATGTTCAAAGCCTGCCTCATAACCACCACGCTATAAATCAGTTTTCATTCTACAATTATACCATTCTGTTCTTTTGCTAATTCATTTTCCCATCATGCCCTGATACAAGAAATAGAGTGTATACACACACACGCACACATACACATATACAAGAGTTAAAAGTTCGCACACATACATACAATTCTGAGAATGACAATCGGTAAACCTTCAAAGGTCACAGCTGATCTGAGAGCTAACAACACCCTGCCTCTACAGGGTTAACAGAATAGATGTCATTAACACAAAACCAGCCAAAGTTGATCATTTACATAGGCAGTTTATATATATGTAAAAAGCTCAGCTTAACCAAGGATTATTTTTACTTATTTCTAGCAAAATTAAAAATATACCAGGGCTGGGGATTTTGCTCAGTGGTTCCACTGCCTGCTTTGCAAGCACAAGGGCCTGAGTTCAATCCCCTATACCAAAAAAAAAAAAAAAAAAACACAAAAAAAAAAAAATACACACACACACACACACACACACACACACACACACACACTCACCAGAAGTGGATTAGACAAGGCGGCTGGGTAAGAAGCACTAGGATTCTATCTCCCCACCTAGATAACAGTTACACTGGCACAATCTGTCTGATTTAACTATTTGGAATTCTAGTATCTGCTAAGGCTAACAGCTTCCACTGGAAGGTCTGGATGGTAAAGTAGGGATAATTTTCATCATAACAATTATGCCAAATTGTTAGCACAACAGTAGCTGCCTCCCCACACACCCCCAGCCTCACTGCAGGCACCTGTTCCTGGAGCAACTTGCAACTTACAAATAGCTTGCTAAAGCCTGGGTGGGCAAAAAAGACCCTATGGTTCACATATTAGGAATCTGTGCTCTGATTTTTGATTAATGACTCTGGTCACAGAGGTCCAGACAAACAGGCAGGAAGTCATTGTTGTTGCACCTCCCTTGGTGTCACAGACCCCCCACACACACTCCCCTCAGGCAGAAGAAACTTCTGGAGGATTTAAAGGGATAGCACCCTTTTCTTTTTCTCTTTTCTTCTTTGGAGCTAGATGTTGCAGATGAAAATATTCAAAACAACAGCATATGCCGAAAAAATTAAAAAGTGACATATTAGGGAAAGGTGCAGGCTCAGAAAAGACCTGTGAAGTCTGTGAGTTTACAACTCAGGATCAGTATTGGACAGAGAAAACCTACCAAAATCACACAAACAAACATAACAAACAAAAACAATTTATAAAAAGCAGCAAACTCTGGAGAAGGGAGAAAATGTGAGATTAGACGTTAGATTCAAATGTTCAGTTTTAAACAACAACAAAATCATGAGGTATACAGAAAAACACAAAATTACAGCCCATTCCAAAGAAAAAAAGAAATCAACAAAAATTGTCCCTGAAAAAGATTTGATAGAATAGGTACTAGGCAAGGATTTTAAAACAAGTATCTTAAAGACATTCTAAGAACAAAAGAAATATGTGAAGAAAATCAACAAAATGGTGGATAAACAAACTGAAGTGTTAATAAAGAGGAAAAAATCTAGAAAGAAAATTGTGGAGCTGAAAAGTTTAATAACTGGAATTAAAAATATATCAAAAGAGGTTTTCAAAGGCAGATTTAAGTAGGCAAAAAAAAATCAACAACCTTGAAGATAGATGAAGTCTGCAGAACAGAAATAAACAAGATTGAAGAAAAACTAAGAGCCAAAGAGACACGTGAGACATCCTAAAGTGGACCATCATATGCATCATGGAAGTCCACAAGAAGAGAGAGAAAGGGAAATAAAGAATATTTAAAGAAATAATGGCTGAAAATGTTCCAAATTTGGTAAAAGACATCAATACAAACATTCAAAAAGCTCAATGAACTCCCAGTCTAATGAATTCAAAATGTCCCACATCAAGGCATATACAAACTTTCAAAAGACAAGGAATCTTGAAAGCAGCAAAAGAGAAGTAACATCACATATGAGTAATCCTAAAAAAATATTATCAGCAGCTTTTTTATCAGAAACTTTGGAGGTCAGAAATCAACCCAGTCAAAAAAATGGACAAAGAACTTGAATAGCTATTTTCCCAAAGGAAATATACAAACGGCCAATAAACATATAAACACATGCTGGGTATCTTTACAGAAATGCAAACCAAAACAAGACACTATCTCACAACTGCTAAGATGGGTACATTAAAACAAACCATTGCTATGTGGATGGTGATAAAATATCTATTTGGGTGGAGTCAAAAATTATACTACACTCTTTCAGCACATCTGTGAATGCTGGACTTTCGAACAAATGGCTGTAGTTCCCTAGGCCTCTGTGCTGTCAGAAGCTGCTCCCCAAATACCAACTCGGAACCAAGGCCTACCATATGGATGCACGGGGTCAATGAAAAATGGTGTCTGAGGGGCCCCAAAGCATGAGAAGACCTGAGAAATGTGACAGGTTTTATCCCAGCTGCTGAAGAGAAATGTACTGAGACCAGAAAGACTAAGGGGGTGCACGCCTCCAGAACGTGTCTGTGGATCAAAATACACCCTAACAGATTCTTGAGAGAGCCCCTGGCAGCTATGTTAACGCTGGCATTGTTATCATTAGAGGCTGGGCTCATTTCTGGCACCTAACATTGGACACATTGACAGCAATGGGGTTGATGGAAGAGGAAAGAATCTGTTTTGCAATGAGGAAAAAAAAAAAAAGTTCTCAGATTTCTGAAACTATTGAAATCATGCCAGAGAAATGCTTGATTTCAGCATTTTTAAACTCTCTGTGATGATACGGCAAGTGGTGTCCCCCACATGTGATGATGTATTTCAGAGCCAGAGTTTTCTCAAGATGTTCCAAGCCTGCAAGCTCCTGATCCTTTTTCAAATTACCAAGACGATAGTATCCCAGTGAGAGCTGTGATTAGTCTAAGCTCTCCACAGCTGTGAGAGATGAATGTACAAATTCCAATAAAGCTTTTGTGTGTTCTGGACTGAATTTACCTACATGACATTGAGGCCCAACTCAGAGCCCGCTTAGAAGAACTGGAGCTGCGGCAGTGCTATTCCATTTCTTCCACAGCATCAGGTGCAGGAGGCTTGCAACTGTTCCTGGAGGACATCTCCTTACACGGGTGTCACTGGCCAGCCAAAGGTATTCACTCAGCAGGCCTGTGACGTGGGGAGAACAGCAGGGCAGGGAAAATTAAACCTGGGGACATGGGAATTCAAAGAGGCCTTGCACTTCATTAGGGGAAGGATAGCCAGGATTATAAAACACCTAGCAACTGAGGGGGTTGGCCTGCAACTACAGGGGACAACAGAACCAGCTGTATCATCATCTCCTACTCGTTTATTAAAAAGCAGCTTCAGAGCAGTTTTCAGTTACTTTGAAAAGCACACAGGGCTCTGTTTTCTTGGACAACTTTTCCATACAATATTTCTTTGGTGTCTTCTTTTTTATCTCTGAGACACAATATCCAACACCCACAACTCTCAGGAGAAAAGGTTTATCATATGACTCGCAGTTTGAAGAGGTTTCGGTCCACAGTCAGCTGGCTCGGAGGAAGGGCAGCATGGCGAGCAGAATCAGCTCACAGACTTGCAGTCAGTAAGCCAAGAGAGACCAAGAGAGGAAGGAAGGAGACAAACCTTTCTAAGCCACGCCCCCAGTGAGCCAACTTTACCAACCAGGCTTCACCTCATAAACTCATCAGTGAACTGAACCTCTAATGAGGATCACACCCCGGTGATCCAAATACCTCTCCAAAGCCCCAGCTTTGGAGTCCATGGGGAGGGACATTTAGATATAAACCATAACACTTGGGATACTAAGTACTGAATGTATAATAATAGGTAGCAAGCTCCTTTTACATGTTTAATAATTGTATCTGAAGGTGCTCACCTGTTCTCCTTTCTGAAACATTTGATGTTCAGCATGCTTCCTAAGACTGAGAAAGACTTAAGGGACAAGGATTCACAAATTGTCTACACATGTGAAAATTTACAGAGATAAGAAAGATTTCTCACTTTGGAAAACAAGGAATATATCACAGGAATTTTGTTAAAATTATCTTCTAATATGACTTGAACGAATGTAGTAGAATTTTGGAAAGCCATGTCTAGACTCATCTTGCACATCCACCTCCACAATTCGGAATCAATCGAAGTGCTCTCCTGGCATCTAGAGATTTTAATAATATGCTAGTCATTTTTTTAATTTATCACACAGCTGTACACATCTGTGCTAAGTGTGATATGCGGCATTTCTCCTTGTAAACACTGAACTTGACTCTTCTCTCCGAGCCAAGTCAAAAGAACATGATTAAAGTCAGGAGAGACACTGAAGAGTGGAAAGATCTGTAAATGAAATTTTCAAAATACCAAATTTTGGATAATCTTCACATGGTCTTCTATTAAAATGGAGGAAAGAGAGAACGAGCTCCATATTTTTCTAATATTCACACAAACAAAACACACACCACCAGAAACATTTCCTCTTTTATCTTTCCACAAATGCTCACTGCAAATCTACCAGCTAAGAGGTTCTTTCAATTTACCAGCACTTGTCACCTCAGGTTTCATCTTTTCTAGGGAAAAATCAAATCAGTAATATAAGCCTGTCAAACGGGACAGCAACAACGCATTTCTTGCCTGGAGCCACAATGCAAGGGTGGCTTTCTAAGAGGCATTTCCCTGGTTTTCTGCTGGAGGCCAGTTCCAGGTACAATCACATAGCAAGGCAATTTGGAAAAAAAATCTCTTCTTTTAATTGACAAGTGGATAAACTCTAACAGCTAAAACAAAGCTGCAGGGGGCACAACCAGAGCAACCCCACAGGAAAGGGAACTAACTGTTGCATTCCTGAAAATACTCAAAATTGATCCAATACCAACATTAGTGGTGTGCTAATAAATGACAACCAGCTCTTAGCGATTAAAAGCCATGTTCTGTAGCACGTGCAGTTTCCCTGGTGTAAATACATCTGCCACAGCTAAAACAAAACTTCCCAGGCAACATCACTAAATGAAGCTAAGATGCACAACAGCAACCGATTGTATAGAATTTCAGTACAACAGATGTTAAGTAACCCCAGCAGCATAAATAATAGTAAGATGGAATGAAATAACTAGAATATGACGATTTTTTTAGGCTCGCCTTAGTTTTAATATAATTTCATTGTAAATTTACATAATTTAATTTAAATAATAGTTGTATTTAATAATTGGCTCCCCAAATGCATCATCAGTCAAAGGTGGATTCCAGGAAGTACCATTAGCTCTAGCACCACTGCATGCTGCTCTTAGGGGACACTTAAGTTATTTTAAGCAAAAAACAAACCAAATAAATGAAACTGGTAATAAATATCTGGATCAAACCATCTCCAGAGTTTCGAAGAATGCTCACCTCTTTGCTAGTTTCACTTTAGAATTTCCTAATGGGTGAAAAGAATGTCCTGGGAGCTGTTTGTTCAAACGATCGCCAGAGCAGTGGGCTGATGTTCGGCCCCAGTTCCCGCTTCCCCACCAGAAATGGCTCCGTCCCTGTGCAAACAGGTAGGTGTACAATGGTGCTGGGCGCTGACTCTCGCGCACCCTTCTCTCCCTTCCTCCTTCTCTCTCAGGGAATTCGAAAGAACTCTTTTTCTGAGGGAATAGAAGGAGCTGGGATACGCTGTAAGAGTCCTTCCAACAGCTAGAGCTGTAACAATGGAACGTGCCCTGATCAGACAGAACAGCTTGCCCACGTCTTTCCTCCGGATCCAAATATACCTGTTACGGTAGCTGATACTTCTACGCAGAGCCTACATAGAATGTTCCTGCTAAAATTACCACCAGCAGTAGTCGTGGCCGAGTGGTTAAGGCGATGGACTAGAAATCCATTGGGGTCTCCCCGCGCAGGTTCGAATCCTGCCGACTACGGAGAGCTCTCATTTTGCTACAAGGGGATTTTTCTTTTGGAACGAATTCCCTTGGATCTCCAGCAGATAACCTAAAAAATTTAAAAACTGCTGAACCAATTTAAGAAAGGGGACCCAAACGGAGGTGTGGATAAGGAAAGGAGGAAGAGTGTGTTTGTAGCCACAGCTTGGGCCCGGAAGGGAGAGGGGATGAAATACCACTAGAAGAAAACTGGTGTCCAAGATCTCCCAGGCAAGGCCGCTCCGACCGCAGGCCACGGAAGAGCTCCGGCCTCGGGAACCCACTGCGGCCTCGGCTCGAGCCCCTCAGCTGAACCGCCTCGCTGGAGCACCGGCCAGACTCACGGCTCGCGCATGCGCGGCGAGGAGAAGGACTTGGATGAGCTCTTGGATGAAGTCGAGTCCAGGTTTTTCAGACGCGACCCAATGACACCGGACGTGGACCAGCGGCCCGAGGGCGGCGGCGGCGGCGGCGGCACCCACAACAGCAACTGGAACCTAACCCAGGCGAAAGAGAATCTAAGGTTAACGGGCGGGCGGGGTGGACCGTCCTAGTAAAGCCCTGCCCTAGGCCCCAAAACGCCCCTCCGCCGCCGCCCCAAAGGAAAGTGTGCGCGACCTCCAGGCTCCTCCGCGTTAGGCCTCAAAAAAAAGCCTCGGAGAGTCCGCAGCCCCGCGCCTCAGCCTGAGGCCCAGGTCTGGGCAGTGTCTGGCGGAGCGCTTCTCCTACTCCGTGAGAACATCCCCTTGCCTCTGACCCCGTTGTCCCTGAGCCTATCGTTACGGAAGGAGAAAAATACTACTTTCTATTCTGTCGCAGCCTGGAATTTTTTTTTTTTTTTAAACCTAGAGAGTTGAATGAGATTAGATTCGTGACAGAAGGGTTAATTGTTGTGAACATTATCTGTATTAATCGAGTTAAGGGACCCAGCATATACCAGACATGCACGGGGACATTTCTAAAGTCTTTTGGGTGTTCTCTTTTTGTTTTGAGATAGGGTCTCTGTATTGCCCGGGCTGGCCTTGAACTCCAGATTTTAAACTATCTTCTTGCCTTGGTCTTCCTGATAGCGAAGACTACAAGTACACACTGCCTGTAGTCTTTTGGTTTTGGATTTTGACCAAAAAAAAAACCCCAAAAAACTACTTTTCTGATTTACCAGTTTTTTCTTCCATATAATCATTAATAGGACTTACTAGGTCCACCTCCTTTTTTCCTCCTCGACCTCAAAAAACCAAAATGTTTACATCCTCTTATTCAAAATGACTTGGGAGCTCAGCAATATCTTGCTAGACTCTTTTGGGAATTGCCTCTTGCTTAGAATGTTTGAGAAAGCCTTGTGAAATTGGCTTCGGATCAATCAAAAAAAATGTCATTCTTTTTAACTTTAAAGCTGCATATATAGTTTGTTGTGATTTCCCAGATCCAATTCCATTGCTACCTACTAATGTAAGAGATAAAAACATGCGGTTTGTTGAAGTGCTTAAAATGATAAAAACAAATATATGAGGTTTTTTTTCTTAAAAAGATGGACACAAGTTGAGTAAAACTATAAGAGTAGTCAAGTCCCCTATAAGAGTAGTCAAGTGGGACAGGATGAGATGGTAATGTTTAAAGATAATATTATAACCTATATTTTACCGACAATAATAATAGCTAACTTTTCACTGAATCCTTTTTGTATGCTAGGTATTTTGTGTTTTATTTACTCTCCACAGCTCCATAGAGTGAATACTATAACTGTATCCTCATTGCACTGACCAAATCAGGGCTTAAAAAATATTTAGCCAGGTATGGTTTTGCGTAACTGTAATCCCAGGAGACTGAGGCAGGGGGATTTTGAGTTCAGGGCCACCTTGGATTACATAGCAAGACCCTGTCTGAAAAGTACATGTCCATAGTCATACTGCCAAATCTACGAAGATGTGGTATATCTAAATTTAAGCTTCAGTGAAATGGTGGCATTCTTTTAGTAGTGTTATTATTACTGTAGTAATGTTTAAGACGTGTAGACATCATGAAATTGTGTGATCTAATAACAGACTAGAGTCGTGTTAGAATTTGGATCTCTGATAGTACTGACTGGGTTATCTGGCCCAAAATGTCAGTCATTCCAAGGTGAGAAACCCTCCACCAGGGTTACCAACCGGTGCTAAATCAAGTCCACTTGTATGGAAATAGAAAAAATGGTTATAGACTACTCAAGTTGATAAGAATGGGTGGTAAGATTCAAGAGGTTTTTTGGAGTGGTTTGTTTTTTAGGTTTATTTTTGTTTGAGGAAGAAATGTTTACATATACTGTGTTTATTTATAGGTTTGGTTCGGTTTGAGAGGTCTTGAGCATACTTTTGGGCAAGGGAAGAAGCCAGTGTAGAGTGAAAGACGTTAAGAATAAAGGAGAGGAGGGCTGGGGATTTAGCCCAGTGGTTCTCCTGCCTGCCTCATAAGCACAAGGTCCCAATTTCAATCCCCAGTACCAAAAAATAATAATAATAATAAAATGGAGGAAACAGAGGCAAAGCCTGGAGGTGGATGGAAAAGTATTAGGGAGCTGTCTCTGAATTTTTTTTAGATCAGATTAAATTATTTTATTCCAAGCAGAAACAAAGAAGCTACATTCCTGGTGTTAAGAAATTTCAAAGTAAGAATACATTCCTAAAATGAGGGAATTGGACCAAAAAAAAAAACTTGTCTTCTAAAAGCAAATCATTTAAGGGTCCAGTGAAATTATGAAGTTAATATATAGCATTTACAGCATATAATCTAAAGAGTCAATTTTATATAGTACTAGGTATGTGGACTGTCCTACTTTCAATTCCAAGCCTTTTCTCTCACAATTGGTATGCCCTTGGGCAAGCTTCTGGATCTCAGTACCTTTTCTTGACCGAAAAATGGGGGTAATAAAGATATCCTCATGTAAAACCTTAGAATAGTACCTGCCTGGCAGCCTGTAGATATTGTTAGTGGTTTGAGGGTTTGGGGAATTATTTTTATTTTGTTTTTTGGGGGGGTGGTGTTCAGTTGGTTGGATTTTTTTGTTTTTTGAGACAGAGTCTTGCTGTGTAGTTCAGACTGGCCTTGCACTCACTATGTAGCCTAGGCTGGCCTCAAACTCGCAGTGATCCTCCTGCCTCAGCCTCCCAAGTGCTGGGATTACAAGCATATATCCTCACGCCCAGCCAGTGTTTGCTTTTAAACACAAATTCTGTGTAGGAACCATTTGTATTAACAACCCAGTGATGTCTCTACCTGTGAAACATAGATAGTTGAAATATTTGAACATATGGCACTTTTTTTTCCAGTTATTTGATTATATGACCTTTGTTTGGCTCCTCCAATAAAGAGATAATGGTTATTTGACTTACAGTGGAACACTTTGTTTACATCCGGTCTATTTATAATTCTACATATTTTGTATTACCTAAATGTTTGATATAACTTAGAAATGAAGTTTCAGTTTTCTTTCAAACGTAATGTATGAGTTTATGTCTTATTTTAAAGTATGTAATTGTAAAGTATATATGTGAATTTGTACTGATGAATTGCCTTAGGAAAAATAGTTACTTAAATATCATGTTTATCTTTCTGTTATCAGTACTAGTGGTGGACTTTCAACAAAACTTCTGACACTCTTTCCTCAAGCTTCAGGCAAGGTTTTTGTGTTTTTTCTTTTCAGATCAACAGAAACGTTTAAAAAAGAAGATGATCTTGATGGTCTTATTAATGAAATATTTGAAGAGCCCAACTTTGACAAAAAAACTTTTGTAAGTGAAGTGTTACAAAGGTGCAGTAGTAGTTTCATTATCTCAAGACATTGAGAGTAGTCTTAAAATTTAAAGAAGGCACAGTAGCTATTTGTAGTCCTTAGCATTCTGAGAAATGCAGTTACTTAAATTATTATGCTTAAAGAGTTGTAAAGGAAATAAAAGTATTCAATTCACTGTGTTTCCTTGTTCATTTCTCATCAAAAATTTAAAAATTGGAAAAGATGTTAATGTAAAAGTCAATTCATAGATCAGGTTAGTCACTTACATTTATTTGTAGCTTCTAAAGAGACCTTTCTAAAAGACCAAAAACAGGCATGTGTTTAGCATCTCAGATGGGATGTCATTGCAGTTATCTTAGGAATTAACATCTAAATTATTATCTTGTTTTAAATATTTCTCTATTTTAACTTTATAAAAAATTTCATAAAATAGCCAGTTGGGGTGGCCCACATCTGTAATCCATCTACTCGGGAAACTCAGGCAGGGAGAGGGCAATTTGAGGCTGGCCTGAACAACTCAGAATTTTTTTTTTTTTTTAGAAAGGGTGAGGATGTTTGCTAGCAGTTGGAAGGCCCTGGGTTCAATTCCTAGTACTGAGAAAAGAAAATTTTATAAATAATACAGTAGCCACCTATATCCTGAACTTATAACAGCTACCCATCCCAAATATATCTTAATATTCTGTTATATCTGCTTCTGTGGGTTTTTAAAAAATTAGAAGCACAGTTTAGGATCTCTCCAAATCCTACTCTGCTGCCTCCTTCCCAGAAGTAACTACCATCCTTTACATCTATATTATACTAGACAAATAATGTTTCATCAGACATTTTTACATGTCATCTTTTACCCATCTACAAGGGTTGCTTTCTCTACAATGCATAAATCTAAAAGGGGAATTCTTAAGTCATAAGGTGTGTTCATCTTCACCTCATTAATATACATTGCCAAATTATTTTCCAAAGTGACTTATTTATATTTTCCTATATATTATGTTGTTTATTGGCATGGTGTGTGTGAAATATATTTTTTAAATTTAGAAGAATGAAACCAAATAGATGTCCAATTTACAAGGACCACAAAAAAAAAAAAAATTAAGCATAATACCCAAAAGAACTTGTTCTAGTTTTTTTGGTTTGGTTTGGTTTGGTTTTTTGAGACAGAATCTTTAGTTCATGCTGGCCTTGAACTCACTGTGTAGCCTATGCTGGCCTCAGACTTACAGAGATCTGCCTCAGCCTCCTGAGTGCTGGGATTACAGGTATACTCAGTTTTGATTTGTTTTTGATTTTGTTTTTGAAGCTTGGGAACACTAAAGAAAGTAGTGGTAATGTTACAAATAGAAGCCACTTGTATTTTTCACAGCCAGACAAAATCAAATAGCTGGTATAGATTTTAGGATCCAAATTTGTCTAAATTTACCATTTAAGTTCATCTGAGGTAAATTAATAAGCTAACTCCTAGTTGACTAATACGTCAAGAGGAGCCATGTTAAATACATCTGATATACTTCATAAACCTCAAGTTAATGTATCATAAGTGCTGCATAGTAATGGTAAGAGTACCAAAAACTGCCATGTTTTTGTTATTAATCATCTAAGTAGGGGTTTTTTGCCTATTTTTTATACCTATCTGTATATGAGACATCTTCACTTTCAAGTTATTTCAAACAGAGACAAAATTTATCTTGTTTAGATTTAAGATATTTTGCAGGCTACAGGAGTAGGGGAAATGGAGAGGGGTGGGGGAAAGGAAAGAAGGGAAAAGAAAAAATGTAAGAAAAGGAAAAAATGGAAACAAAGTCTTTGAAAATAGGGAAGGGTGGAGAGGGTGAAGGGAGGGCAGGGGAATGGGAAAAAATAAGAACCAAGATAACATCATATAAAGGTACAAGATCCCAGTGATAAATGTAATAACTATTGTATACCTAAAATGTACCAATAAATTTAATGGAAAAAAAAAGATACATTGTAGGGTGAGAGGGTTACAGGTATAGTTCTGTAGTAGAGCACTTGCCTAGCATGCACAAGGCCCTGAATTTAATGCCTAGCACTGCCAAAAACAACAACAAAAAACCCACTAATTTGAAATAAAAGTTCTTACAATTATGAAGATATAAATATGCATTCCTGTGCTTCCTTTTTGTTGTTATTATATCCAGTTTTCCAACCTTTGAGACAAAGTAGGTCTGTGTGAACACTGGGTAAGGAAAAAAAAAAGTGCCTGTGACGAATGGCTTCTGCCTACATTGTCCTGCAGGGCCATTTTATACCCTGAAATTCCTGCTCCTCACTCCACCTCTACTCTGTCAGTCTGGTGCATTTCTAACCTGCTCTCGGACCCACACCAGGAAGTCAAAGGACAGATGTCACAGTGGGCCAACTTGGAGTCACAATCAGGAGCCTGGCTGCTTCATGAAACACGCTCCCCAAGACAAAATGCACACTTATCTTTCAGATACGTATCAAATTTTCCAGTTCTGTATAACATCAAATAAAAGACTTTGACAAATAGCCACATGAAATGTTTTTGCCTGCATCAAATTTCCTCGCCCACTAGAGAAAATGAAAACGTGTCCCTGCATGGTTTAGCTGCCCTTTCTCCATCTCACTGCCTCTCTTTGGCGGTGGTCCTAGTATGTGATTGGTTTATGTTGTTCAGTACCACCAGTTAACACTCGATAAATGCTTGCAAGTGATAATGATGTTATATAACCGCATAGGCACTACTGTGTGGTTCTGACTAAATAGCTCCACATTTTCCTTGAACATCTATTGGCTAATACCATTCCACTGGATCAAATTTAATATTCTTGAAGTTACACAGGAGTTTGGTTAGTTTATTTTTAGTTCAGATAAGTACTGTTCACAGCCTTTAGAAATGAGTCTGAGGTTTTTTCCTCAGTTGAATTTTTCCAGAAAGTAGTTTTAAATAGCAGGCCCTTCATATTAAATCATTTAACTCTGGTATTAACTGAAGAGTTATAAAGTGACTCTAAATCTTAGCATGGTAATAATGGCAATATATCAATTTCCTAGAGTAAAATTTGAGATAGTAATTTGCAAATTCTTTAGAGAATTCTATATCTCTGTTGCTTTCCAAAGGTTTTAATAGTTGTTTTCCTTTCAAATTCTTACAAATAATGCCACCAAAAGTTGTGCTATTTTTTAAATATTCATGTTATGAAACAGTATTACTTTTCATGTTGTAATTTTCTAAGTTACCCTTGGCCTTTATTGTTTTTTTTTTCTAGCAGAAATTAAAATCTAAATCTTCATGTGACACATCTGTCAGAGCTTGTCTTCAAGCCCCGCATAAAAGGTAAGTTGAGATTGCTTTAGTGAATTATACGCTCTAGCAAGCAAACACTGTGAGCTTAGTCTAGTAGATTTTGTTACCATTTAAGCAACAGTAACATTGAAGAACAAAGCACTGGCTGGCCCTCAGGAGAAAGACCAATAGTAATAATATCTTTGGTGTTCTTATTGTCTGTGACCCCTTAGTATAAAGGAAATTAAATGGGGGATTATTGCTGTTGTAAATAAATTTCTGCCATATTAAAAAAAAAAAGTGTGAACAGTTCCACAAAATTAATGTTCTGTTACAGTCTTTAGTATTTACTTTGTCCCTGACATTATTTGGCAAACACTTTTTTCTGTGACTCATTTTAACTCCTTGAGTGTTTCTGAATATACAGGTGATATCTAATACAGCAGTGATCCTGTAATAAATACCTCTTCTTTGAAATTGCTGGCTTGCTAGGGAAAATATACAGTTTGGTCACAAGAACATAGAGTCAGCGTGACCAAATTAACTTCTCATATTTCTTTTTTATTGAAATTTCATTTTTCTCCATCTGTTGAACACATCTAGTTGCAGCCCAGTGTACCTCGGTGGAAGCACAGTTCCATGTGGGATTGGAACACATACTTCACAGAGGTGGGATATCACAAATGTGTTACACTTTCTTATTAGGTTTTTGCAGCTTGATACCCTGTTGCTAAAAAGCAGTTCTTAACCATCTTGGCATCAATCTGTTGTGTAATGACAGATGTATATGACTTGCCATCTGAAAAACACTTTGTTGACATGTTTCTTTGGGGGAGGTAGCTGTTGAAAGCTGTGGTGTTGGGGATGTATTGTTTGTGTGTTGATGCCCTTTGCTGAGTGCCTCTTGAAGTCCCAGTTTGGTGTTGATAGGGCAGTGGGGGAATGAACTTCTTCCAGGCAGTGGAAGCAGTGAGTGGCAAAGCAGGTGAAGCAGTGGGGCTGTGCAGCTTGTGTGGTGCCCGAGCCACACTGATGGCCAGGCAGCGTGAGAAGTCACGGGTCTGCATCACCCAAAAGATCCTTAAGCACAGTCACTTGATTTTGCACATTTCAAAAGCAGAAAGCCACCATTGTTTGTCTTCTCTCTGCCCCTTCCCCAACCTGCTTTCCCACTCTTTCCAGGCAGTCCTAATAGTAGCCATGATGATGCTTACCCCAAGCTCATATTAGCTCTTGCGGTAGCACGTTCTGTTGCCATTTTTGTAATTTAGGGGGAAAGACTGGCTTAAAACAAAGTTTTCTGCTTTCTTCTGGCCTGCTACTTTGGGTTCTGTTTTTGGGCAGAGCCCGATTTGCCTAGATTACTTTTTCTATTTATTTCTAAAACTTTTTTCCTGTTAATTTTTGTTTGGTTTGGTTTGGTTTTTTGTTGTTGTTGTTGTTTTGTTTTTTGTTTTGTTTTGTTTTGTTTTGTTTTTAAACAGGGTCTCACTATGTAGTTGAGACTGACCTGGCACTCACTGTGTAGCCCAGGCTGGTCTCGAACTTACAGCGATCCTCCTGCCTCAGCCTCCCAAGTGCTGGGACTACAGGCGTGCGCCACCATGCCCAGCTTCCTGTTAATTTTTTTTTTTTTTTGGAATTGGGAATTGAACTCAGGACCTTGTGTACCGGGGATCAAACTTGGGTACTTGAACTTGCGAGGCAGGCGGCGGCATGGCACCACTGAACTAAATCCCCGGCTGTTAATTTTTTAAGGAAGAAAATACTGGGTTATATGATTGCAAACCCCACATTTCTGGAGGACTGCTGCAATGAATAATGCAAGTGGGATCTGAAAAGACATTGGTGGAGGGATTGTGCTGGTGCTAATGTAGATTCTAGAAAGTCTGGAAGGAAAGTCTGCGGGACCAAAGTGAAACTGGGAGTCTGAGAAGCCTTTCTCAGGAACACCAGGCAGCACACAGTGTAATCTACCAGGGTGCCGCCTGCTCACATGTATCAGTACGAACAGATCAGGGCTTGAATGATCATGTGTGGAGGATTGTCTAAAAAAAAGTAGCAATACAATGTAGTCTTGTTGCTATCAGTCCTCAGTTACTTGGGTCAACTCAATAGGACTTGTCCCAGTCCTTTCCAGAGCTGTGTCACCTCTAATCCAGACTCTGTCAAGTCACCCACAAACTATAACTACAGTTCCAGAGTTACCACTTCCAGTTCTGCCACCTGTGGCATTCAAGATAACACACCCAAAGTATTTCCTGTCTCCTGTGCAGAGAGCCAGTGAGAGCTGCCATGGTCTCACATTACTTCTGAACTTGGTATTATCTTTACCAAATTATTATCCTTATTCTTTCTCTTTTCTCTTTAATTCCTTCAACTACAACTGAAGCCTGGGTCAGATACTCCACTTACACTGGAAACTCGTCGTCTTCTACCTTTCATTAATACTTTTCAGCCTCTGAGTATTTTAGCATTTATTCCCTATCTAAAGTGATACTCCTTTCTACCATGTCCCCTGCTGTTTTACCTGTTTAATTCATATTTATAAATTCATTTGAACTTTTCCTATTTGTTTTTTGAAGCACACTAAATGTACACCCTAAGCCTTGGGGTAGTTTACCAAAAAAAGTATAATAGTGGCCAGTGGAGAAACAAATGAAGAAGCAAATGGTTCCACTGGGACTTGACGAGGAAAGGCTCTGATGACAGAACAGCCGATTCACGCTGCCACTCACAAGCTGCCAACCCTTGAGGCGTTATCTTCTAAAATTTGATTTTACTCACCCATGAAAACTAATCACATTTCACAGAGATACTGTGAGGATGAAATGAAGTAATACAATATGCAACAGCTGTGCCTGTGGTGCAGAAGATAACTAGCTATGTCAGGTTCCCTGGCTTGCTGTCATTATCACATCTTCCCTATCAACTCATCTTGTTCTCTTGTGTTCTGTCTCAGAACAAGAATCCTGTATTCTGCCGTTTCCCTTTTATCTCAGGAAATATGTATCGGTGATTACTTATAGGTGCTTCTTAAAAAGTATATTTTGGTTTACTTCCAAAGATTTTCTTATATATAGTATATTTTATATGTGTACTTTTACTTCTGCCATAGAGGAGTATTATTTTAGATAGAATTTCAGTAGACGAAAGAACACGCCTATAATCCCAGCACTTGGGAGGTTGAGCCTGGAGGATTGCTGTGAGTTTGAGGCTGGCCTGGGCTAGATAGCAAGACCCTGTCTCAAAACACCAAAAAAACAAACCAAAAAAATCCAAAAAACCAGCCTGTTTCTATAGCTTGAGGGTCCCATCATATAGTATTGATGTATCAAGATGCCAGAATCTATCAAATCCAATCCTACCTTCTGCACAGCTACAAAAAGAAATATATTTGTGTATATATTTATATTTATACAGGTAAATGTGTATTCACAGACCTTCCTCACTCAGCACAGAGATAAAGTCATTAGCTGCCCCTTTCAGGACACAGAATCTGCACATATAAACACATATATTTGAGTACAAATAAAACAATTTATGTGTAAAATATTTATACTTCGAGCATTTTTATGTATGCTTGTTGGTTTGCCTGCCCGTGGGGGTGGGGATAGGGGGACCCAACATACAAATGGAGCAAGAATTTTTAACTCCATTAGCTGCCGCTAGGTCATAAGAGTACTGCTAAGTTGTGACGTTTGTTAAATACATTTTTAACTTAGGATAGATTTATCAGAATGTAGCCTCATTGTAAATTGGAAACATCTGTATATAGTCATGAATGAGAAATATACTTAAGCCCTGAAAATGAACAGTGTTTTACATGCTGAGGGCATAAATTGAGTATATTCTGCATATTGGTTTTATTTATTTGATTACTGGACAGAGCTTTGGTGTGTAAGTAATGATGAATGTCTGTCAGTGTAAAGATTTGAGTCTTTTTTCCAGTGTGTGAAAGGAGAAAGAACAATAGTTGGAAGTGCAATGGTGTCCATCGGTGGTATAGATAAAACCAAGACATTATTTTCAACTCAGTCAAATTTTACTCTTCTGCAACTACTTGCAAGACTGAATTATTCCATAGACTTATACTAATTATGACTTAATAGAGTACATTGTAGCAGTGGAATGATTTCTTAGCTGCAAGTTTTATTTTTCTCATAGGACAGTGTAGGAAAATGTGGTAGTGTGAATAGATTTGAATAAACTACTAAATTTTAAATTAAATTAAAATGTACTTAACATTGTGGTGGAGATTTTTCATGCATAAAATGTCAGGAAATTCTAAGTTATAGTTCCCCCAACAGCAATATTTCAGCCGAATTACACATGTGTATTAAGGCATTAAGGTTAACACTTTATGCAATAATGTAATAAACTACATATGCATAAGAAAGCAAGTTATGGTAGCTGTGGGAACTATCATTCTGCATTTCCTGACGTAAATATTCAGAGTCTGAGTGCAAATCTATACCAATGTCATTATGTTGGATCTCCATATCTACAAATGTAACTTCATAAATTACTAACAATTTCAAAGAAAATGCAGAATTGCTTATGAAACTCATTTAGACTTTAAATATTTAGTTATTATATCAATGAATAATATTTTTAGAAATATGAAGGATTCATTCTCATAAAACCTTTCAGGCCAAAAATATTTTTCAGTTTTGAAGTTAACATATCTGAATTTTGGAGGGAAATAAGTGAAAAAAATCTTACAAGGGGCTTGTTATAGTTTATTTTTTTGTTGCAGAAGTATTATATGCCTATTGACAAATAAAGAAAGGCATAATAATTTCTGTCCCCCTTCTTTTCTTCACACTTCTAAGACAACCAATGTTAGCTACATACTATTTTTATAACTCAGTTCTTCTGTCTGTAAAATGGAATAAATAAGAGTACTTGCATACCTCATAGAATTATTATGAGGATCAAATGAATTGAATGGTTATAAGGAAAAATCTGTGAACAACTGAGGCTGAGAACTCTGAACTGTGACTTCATTGGGATATGTTGTATTTTACTGTTTATTTTCTTTGTGTGTCCCTCCAGTTCAGAAGGTAAATCTAACTTATTTTCTATCAATTGCCTACTATTCCACAGCATAAATATACTGCATCTTTCTCAGTCTTTCCTCTTTTTGACAGATAATTCAAGCAGTATCTCTTTTTTTTTTGTCACTTTAACGATACTGCAGTAAAAATTCTTGAGGTATATTCTTATATATTAATGCTTTTACTAATATATAATATTTCCCAAAACAGGATTGCTAGTACAAGTATTCTAGGTATGACTTTAATTTCAAAAATACCGTAATGCTACCAGATCCCGGTAGTACATGTCTTTAATCCCAGCCACTAGGAGACTAAGGCAAGAGGATCTCAAATTCAAGGCCTGCCTGGGCAACCTAGCAAGACCTTGTCTCAAATATTAGTCAGGGATAGAACACAGGATTAAATCCCCGGTACCTCAAATAATAATGATGCCAAATTTTTCTCAAGATATTAAATTACCGTATGAGAGTGCTAATTTTAATTTAGATGATTAAGAAAATTTCATGATTGCTTTAAATTTTTGTATAGCTCCTTAACACTCTGCCAGGCACTTTGCAGTATTAATTTGTTTGATCATAATAATTCTATGAGGTATGCAAGTACTCTTTATTTATTCCACTTTATAGACAGAGAAGAACTGAGTTATAAAAAATGTTAAGTCACTTGCCTACAGTGACATAGCTAATAAATATTAGAATCAGCATTTGAATCCAGGTGCTGTGTACCCAGAATCCATGCTATTTACTGTTTGCTACCTAGTGTGGTTATTGTTTTTATGTTTTTTTCTCTTTTGTTATTTGTGAGCACTTTTTTATGTAGTATAAATGTTTGACCATGTGTTGAAAATGTTTTCCACTCTATTACTGAACTTGTCTCTCTTTTTGAGGGGAAGGGTATCTTAGAAACTCATTAAATGATTCCTTTTAATTTTTAAATGATTGAATATATTTGTGTTGATTCTGGTTTTAAATACTTAAAACAATTGAGGATGTTTCTTTAAAGTAAATCATAAATATTATACGGTTCAGATTATTTTCAACAGTGATCCATAATTCCTTTTTAATTTTCTGTGTGCTGTCATTTTACTCTTAAGGTTCTTATTGATATATGCATAAGTATACTTTCAAAATTATTTGTCCCTTCTATTTCTTAGCTGTTGATTGCCTATTATAAGCTAAATATCATTCTAGCTACCTCTGCCCCCTCTCTCTAAAATCATCAGAATTTTGCTCTTTACTACATCTTTGTGTTTTTCCTCCCATCTTAAGCATAACCTTCTCTTAACCCCTGAGTAGTTTTTAATGAAAGTACTCAGATATGCCTTCATAGTGAAGCCTATGTAAACACCCTAAAATTTAAAATTTGTGACCCATCCCTTCCTGGTACTCCTAGGTTTTTTTTGTTTGTCTTGTTGTGTTTTGTTTTTATCTTACTCTACTTATTACAGTGGGATCTTGGTTCATGGACTTAATTCTTTTTACAATTCTGATCACAAACCAGAATCAAATTTCTCCATAAGGTCAACATTGAACCTAACCATTGAATTTGATTTGGTTCTCATTCATTTTGATTTTCAGCCAAAATGGTGGAAAGAAGTTTGTGAACCGAGGTACCACTATATTTCATTAATAGCACTTTTCACCTTTTAACATACTATATAATTTAGTTGCTATTAATGCTACTTTTTAGTTCATCTCTCACTAGAATCTAAGCTCCATGAAGACAAGGATCTCACTAGCACATAGTAAAATTTTTCAGTGAGGAATTGAATGTGTATATGCCAAGTAGTGGGGAAACAGAAACAAGAAAGATACCATCGCTGCACTGAAGTAGTTTATGAAGGAAACGGATTCATTTCAGTACATTCTTTGATAGAGGAATCTGCAGAAAGTTCAGTAAGAAAGGCAGCACTTTAAAGAAGTTAGCTTCAGTGAGGACCAACCTCCCTCAGACACAATTTGAAAGTCACCTAATTGAAGACCTACAAACCCATTTTATGTCTCTGTAATGTACACGTATGCATGTATGTGTCAGTATGCAGGATGTTAGGTGTATACAAAATAACCTGAAAGTTTACATATATAAGCCGCGCTTAACATCTATAATCAGATTAATCTGTGCTTTTCTATTATTCGGTAATCTATAAAATGTGGTATATTCTGTGAATAAATCAACATGTTTTTATATTTAAGCACACCAATGATCTTTAATATATATTTCTTTTTCCCTGAACAGAGCATGTGACTGTCTACGTTGTATAGCCTGTGATTTCAGGGTAGTGAGCTACAATGACTACATGTGGGACAAATCATGTGATTATCTGTTTTTCAGGTATGTTTCTAAATGTCACTCTGAAAAATGTGCAAAAGACTTAACATTTTTATTTTGTCACTTTTTTTGTTTTGGTTGGTTTTTTTTGGGGGGGTTGTTTTGTTTTGTTTTTTTGCTGTTTCTTTTAACAGACTTGGCCAGATAATGTGACCTCTTCAGTATTTCATCCATCTTTTCCTTTCTTTCTTCTCTGTCTACTGAGTATACAAATAGCCTTTTCAGTGATTTTTGTACCTAAAATCTTTTCTTTCCTTGCCCAGAATTAAAGCATAGCTCTAAATGTTCCCCATTATCCTGCCTACAGAGCAGTCTAGATTCCATAGCATGGTATTCAAGACCCATTGTGATCCAGGCTCCGTCCAGCTTCGCCCCCCTATAATGCGCTTTCACCCTCCTTAAGATCTTAGCTATATTACAGTCCTCAGGGATACTATACCTCTGACTGTAAGCTCCCCACTGGCTGGGACACCTCCCCGCTGTTGCACATGCCTGAACCTTCTCTGTCCATCAGAGTCCAATTCATCAAGCATCTTCCATGGTTCCCTCACCACTCTCTCAACTTAAAGAATGCTCTTCCTTTCCTGTGTATCCTCAGCACTTCATACCCGTATAGCACTTAGGTCATATAAAATTGAAGATCTTAGGTTGTTTTACATTTACCTTCCTCCCTGTGGTCAGGATAGTGGCTTACTCATTTTTATAATTTGTACATTCTTATACACTTACAGAACAACATTGTTAAGGTATTACAAATTGTAAAAATGTTATTAAGAGTTAAACATTAATAAAGTACATATAGCATGTGTTTTGGTCTGCCAGACCTATGCCTAAACAAAGATTGTTTTTAGATGCAAGTAAACCCAGTATACAGTACTTTTCAATAAAGAAAAAGAAGAAACAGCTGGAGAGTAGCTCGGGTCGAACATGCTAGTGTTTTTTATGTATGTAAGGTCGTAGTTTGATCCCCAGCAGTACCAAAAAGAAGGAAAAAAAAGAGAGGCTTACTTTTGTATGGTCATCCTCAGGTAAACCTATTGGTCTCTCCTGATTTATTTTACTCAAGAATCACTCAAAATCTTACAAAAGCTCTGAATCCTTTTCATTCACACATTCACACATTCAAAGTTACAAACATACGGATAAATCACAGTTCCAGGGTTTGACAGTTCCCATCCTAAATAAAGCCTATGAATCCCCAAATCCTGGTCCAGAACCCCTACTCTTATTTAGCCCACTTTTTATTCCAATAGTTGGAAAAGTTAGCTTTTAATTTCAGTTTCATTTTGCCTTTTCTGTCTTCTGGCTGATCTAGTAAGTGGTTAATAGTCTTCACATCACAAGATGGACCTTACATTTTCATAAAGGTCGTACAGGGTGATAAGATTCATGTAACATCAAAATCATGGTGAGTACAGGCCTAAAGTCAGCTTATAGGTGACTTAGTTGGTCCTTAAAAATGTTGTAGGTATCGAGAACACCACTTGGGGTTTGGGGGTGTAGCTTTGTGGAAGAGTGCCTGCCTAGCATTCACGAAGCTGTGGGTTCAGTCTCTAGCACTGCATTGAAAAAAGAAACACCTCTTGTTTTACTCCAGGTCCATGACATCCTGGCTGAAGACATTCATTTATGTTTTTAGATGAAACAGTGACTACTAGAAGATTTATTACACTAGTACACTAGTACAATAAAGACATCATTATTATTTAAATCAATAGCAAATAGCATCAACCCTGGAGATGCTTGGAATATGTTTAGGACATAAGAGAATGGAACAGCTACAGAATTAGGCTGTCTCCCCAGTCAGGACAATTTGTTGGTAATTTGTTGGTTATGGCACTCATTTGGTAGAGTTTAGTGGTGTTTCCTTATCCAGGAGACATTACTTAGCACCTAGTTGTGGCTTTTTTAAGTACTAGATTCATAAGATGAAGAAGTCTCAGTCCTTCTTTTAAGTGACCATTGTTCTGGGAGAGAGATATGAGATTACATCATGCCATCAACATGACAGGAAAGCTAGGTTAAAAGAAAGGATTTCACAGGGCAAAGTGGACTCGCTTCACTCTGCAGCATGAGGGGAGGCTTCTCAGAGTCTTGAAGAGTGTACCTGGAAAATAGGAGTTGCCTAGAATATGGTGTGGTATTCTTTTAGCAGCACAGTTCCTAATAGCTAAATTTTGGAAGCAGCCTATATGTTCAGCAACAGATGAATGGATAAAGAAAATGTAATATTTACACACAGTGGAATACTACTCTGCCATAAAAAGATAAGCTTGAATCATTTGTGGGAAAATGGATGCAGCTTGGGCCCATAATGTTAAGTGAAATACATCAGGCACACAACCTTAAATATTGTGTGGTTTCACTTATATGAGAAAATCAAAATATAAATAAAGAGCAAAATAAAAGATTTCAGGAAGTAGGGAGACCTATCTTTCTCAAATGGGAAGGGGATCAAGAGATGGAGAGACAGGAAAGAGGAAGAAGGAGAGAGCAAGGTAATGTAAAAAGAATTAATTTGTTATGTACATGTGTCGGCTCCCCACAAAGAATGTGATCATTATGTACTGCGAACATATGCTAATGAAAAAATTAAAAATAATGAAGACACAGAGGAGTGAGACCACATGACATATTTGGGGAGCTAATGAGTACTTGGAACTGTACAGCGTTGGATACAAGGGCCAGAGATGGCGAGAGATAAAGTCATCAAGAGAGATCAGGAAGACCCAAGGAGCCATACTGGGGAATTTGGGTTTAATTCTTTAGGCAGTGAGTCATCATTGACGTTATTAATCAGGAGGGAACTCTGAATAGATTTGAATTTTTAAAGGATAATAGTACCACATGGGAACCTGACCAGTCCGGAATAATGGGTATTGATGAGAGGATGTTGTGGTCCAGTGAGAAGGAAATAGACCTCTGAATTGCGGCATTGAGAAGGACAGAGAGCAAACGATGTATTTTAGAAATAGTCCAGGCTGTGGAATGTAGAGACAAACATCATCTAGGATGACCCCTAGGTCTCTGTCCTATGATACAGCCCATTGATGAGAGAACATAGAACAAACTTAAGGGAAGAGCCTGTGCTCATTCGTGGGAGCTGATGGAGCTCTGAAGCTCAGAGAGGAAGATGTAATAGGTAAAGTTGGGTGGATTACTGAGAAGTGCAATTTGGAAGACTGTCAGCGGATGCAGGGATCGTTTTGTTGAGACACTCGGAGGTTCATATTCTGAGTGGGAGTGTGGACATGGCCAGGGATGGGTGAGGAGAGGGGTCTGGTGTGCTGATGGAAAATGAGCCCTGGGCAGGAAGAGGAGGACCATCTCCCATGCACACAGGAGCTTGCTAGGAAACAGAAGGCTCTTAAATCTACTGGCTTAAAAGTAAGGATGTGATCTACTCCACGTAAGGTATTGGAGGACAGGAGAAACACGAGGTGGATGGGGACTAATCACCGAGGGAAACCAGAGGTAGCAGTGACCAGAAGGATGAGTTGAAAGGTCTGCAGAGTACTCACTGAATGTCCCATAAAACACAGCATGCTGTTGATTTTTGGTGGTGTCAGTCTGCACATCTGTTAACAGCATGAAATGCTGTGCAGTTGTTTATTGTCCCTATTGACAGAGGGGGGAAGTAAGTGTATCCCAGCCTTACCAAGTTCTAGAACTTTCTGAAAAAGAAACAGACTATACTTGTTGACCACCTCCATTACAGCTAAATCAGATACTTTTACTTTTCTGTTAAATCAAGTATTTTAAGGAAAAATAATGGAATAATTTTTAAGCTTTAAAAACATTTGAGATGTATTAAATAGTTCCCTGGATACTCATGATTCCTGTTCCTAAAGTCTCTAATTAAGAATTCAGTCATGTATCAAATATTGTTTGTCAAAATATATTGTAGATTGAATAAAGGACATTTCATTTAACCGAATTTGGTGTTTTGTTTTGTTTTATAGAAGATTATTCAGTTCTTCCTCTAGTTCACCATAGCCTTAGAGTAAATTACTTTGTTGGTCAGGGTCTTATTTTCCTAAAACCAGACATCTGGCATAGGAATTCTCTCAGATTTTGTTAGGCTGTAACAAAAACTACCTAATTTTGTACAGAATAGTACTGACACAGTGCCCAGTGGCCACCAGAGGGCACTTGGGAGCCTACCATCTGTTAGAGTGATCACAAGGAATAAAGCATTGTCTTTTCATTCTTATCTATACTATCTTTCATCATTTCATTTTATATTTTTTCATTGTTTCACACTTAATTATGTCTATTTTTCTTTGTCATTTAATGTTTACATAATCTTAGTATGTGAGTTATAAAAATCATAATTGATCTTAACTGTATAGTTCTATATTACTTTCTTATAATGGCATCAAGTTCAATGATTATTATTTTTTATGATGGTCTTGATAGTTAATTTAGTTACTTAATCTTATTGACTTCTTTCACATTTGACTTTTGTGTCAGTTCATGTTTGCAGTACGTTACGATCACATTCCTTGTGGGAGTCTGGCACGTGTAGAGAACACATCCCCTTCCCCTCCCCTCTTTTCCTCCACCCAGAAATATTGTTATATTTATTTCAGCATAGGCACTTACTTTGTTGTGATAACAGTAAATAAGCAAATCATTGAAGCAAATGAATTCACCATACAGAAATACCAGGCGCTTTCTCTCTGAGTGAAAGTTTTCTGTAGTTAACCCATCTGAAGCCTATGCCTGTCATGCTCCCTCCACTCGGCATGGTGTAGGAGACTAGCATAGGTGAGTATACGAGGTGGGAAGTGACACCATCACTCCCACTCTGCTCTCGTTCGTGTCATCTCTGCTAGGACCAGTCAGTAATTCTTCAGCCTTTTGGGTCATTGTGTTCTTTTGCAGCCTTAATACCCAGGCCTAGCTGATTGCCATTAAAAAGTACTGACTATCAGAAAGAACAACAAAACGTTTATTCTGCTGTTAGTGTGGAAGGACCAAGATCGTGGATGTTCAGATACTGTAAAAATAAGAAAATATAACAATTAGAACTTTCTTGGCATCATTAAGTACTAAACAAAGCCACTGTGTTAAAACTTTCCTATTTTACTAATAGGAACAACATGCCAGAATTCCACAAGTTAAAAGCAAAGTTGGTAAAGAAGAAAGGAACACGGGCATATGCCTGCCAGTGTAGCTGGAGAACTGTGGAAGAACTGACGGACCTGCAGACAGAGCATCAGCTTCGTTGGGTTTGTGGTAAACATTAGGGATGCACTTTGCTCATTTGTGTAAAGGCATCCATGAACCCAGCCTCCAGCCGTCCTGTTTATGTGGAAGTACATAGCAAAGGGTGATTTTCATTTAACTACACACATTTTTGAAGACCAGATGGACCGAGGAAGACCGTGTACTCTTAACATTTTGGAATTACTCCTTTTTGATATATGGATGTTTCACTTGGTAAGATAACAAACACCCAAATTCTTTACTAGCCTGTCTCCTATTAAATGGACATTTAATTATGGACTTTGGTACAAACGTATAGCCTGTCATTAGCAGTTGTGGCCTTGCTTCCTGGTATAGTTGGTGTAAACTTTGTGTGTAGTAGGAAGGGGAGGAAGCTGGTCAGGGCAGAGAGGTCACTGCAGGAGTTTACAGCACCTCCTCCAGCCAGAGCTGTGGTTTCCAGAGATCCTAATGCAGATGGCAAAAGCCACAAGATCGTGTCCAGCTGAAGGGTTGTCAGGAGTACTGCGCGTTCCAGAATACTGCCTTCTAGCTCATCTTACCTCACATCTTACAGCAGTGTTATGCACAATAACAAGTGCATAGTGACAGTTTTATCTTATTTCACTTTTTGTTGATCTAAATATCAGATCTTGATATTTGGGGGGGGTTGGTACTGGGGAATCAAACTCAGGACCTTGCGCTTAGATATTTAGGCTTCTATCTGAACACATACCCTTTATATAAAAAAGTCTTTGGCATACCTAAAATCACAAAAATCCTGCTGCAACTTGTTGGATTTTTCAAGTACTCTTTAGCCTTTAATGCTTAAAATGTCATCAAGTGAAAGTAAAAGCATTTTTTCAGGCAGCCTGAGACTCTTCTGCTAGGATCAGGTTGATACATTATTTATTAAATGAATTCACGAAAGAGACATAAGGTATAACATACCAGCAGTTAGCCTATTGGGATTCTTGATATGACTGAGACTTAGGGAAGGAAATCAGTTACTTCACAGCACCCAGATCCCAGCCCTGTCAAGAGATGGGGGATTTTCCAGTCTGCCCAAACTCCTAATACAAGTCTACAGTTTGGTTCAAATTTGTGACACAGGATGCACAGAAAAGGAGGAATTTTTAACAGAGTTATGATCAACTTGGTCTTATGCCAGTTCCATTTCAGTGCCATTCTACAGCAAGGAATATCTGATTATTAAAAGCCTCCTAGTGGTGTAATCCCAGCACTCTGGGAGGCTGAAGCAGGAGGGTCCCAAGTGTGAGTCTAGCCCAGGCAACTTAGTGAGGCCCTTCCTTAAAATTTTTTGGCTCAGTGCAAAGGCCTTGGGTTCAGTCTACAGTATTGGGGGAAAAGGAGTGTTTGTGTAGCCGTGACACATTGTAAAACTTACTGTGGTTAAATCTGGCGCTGCAACAGAACAGCTTACAGTGGCTGATGCTCACATTTTTGTATTAAAGATATGTTTGCAGATTTTATCTGTCAATAAAAAAATTTAATTTCCATAATTATATGTGTGTAATTGTGTCAGAAATATTGAGGATTTGGATTAAAATAATTTCTTCCAAAACATGGCAGGCCAACAAGATCCATGTATTCAGGACCTCATGGACTTTGCCATGTTTATCATAATTATGATCATTTCTTTTATATCAGTGAGCAAACTTTCTAAATCATTAATTTGTAAATATTTTAACCAATTTTTCTTCTAAAGGGATGAAATTGTCCTGTTCTATTATTTCTGTTCTGAAACCTGGACATGTTACTCATGTTTGACATTCGTAACATAGTAATTATAATAATTCTCTAATGTCAGAAACTCATATTTGAGTTTTGTTGGCAATTTATAAGGTCTTCAATATTGCACTTTTTATCTAAAATATAGAAATTATTGTTTTGTTTGTTTTGGTTTTTTGAGACAGGGTCTTGCTATGTAGTTCACGCTGGTCTTGAACTCACTATGTAGTTCAGGCTGACTCAAATTCATGGTGATCCTCCTGCCTCAGCCTCCTGAGTTCTGGGACTACAGAAGGATATTATTTATATACAAATGGATAAATAATTACCTGTTATAATTTAAGATAAAATGCAACTATTTTAGGATCGATATAGAAGAAAAGAGTTTCATGTCACTATAAAAAATGCAGTCTCACACTTAGGATGTTTTGTTTATCTTCAATCTTTGTAATATTTTTACTGTTAGCAAAGTATCTACTGTCAAGCCAGACTTTATTTGAACTGTATTATACTTTCAGAACTTGATTCTTAGAAATGAGAAAACAATAAATAGCTTTATACAGTTGTTATAACTTTTTATTCTATAGTAAAATATTCATCTGGGCATTAATTTGGAATAACTTTGATTTTTTCATTATCAACATAAACATTTCTAACTACCCAGCTAAACAGAGTTTGTTTACATTGAGGAGAGGCGTGCCACAGTGTGAGAGTGTGTAGTGCATGTGTGTGTGTGTCACACACACGTGTGAAGAGCGTGGGATCCAGAGTAGATCCAAGTTCAAGAAGTACAGAGCATGTTGATACTGTGACACATATCCAGGTGTCAGTAAACTTAGAATCCTTTTCTTGGGCCGAAGAAAATATCGTCAGACTCCGAATCTGAATTGCTTTCCCTCATATTCTTACCTAATATTTTAAAATATTTTTTAAAAAGTCTTCATATCCAGAGTACTGAGATAGAGCTTAGTAGCAAATTTCAAATAATTTTTCTCACCTCTTTTAACAACTTATCAGACAACATACTGTTCACAGTAATCAGTCACATCTGTTGCTCAAAATAGTTCCCAAAGCAAAGACAAAGTTCAAAATGTACAATCAGTATAGAAGTGTCATCTTTCTTTGTGTTTGTGACGCCATTTTGTGTCCTGTTCTAAAAGATTGTGTGAGATATACAGATACGAGGATGATAATTAAGTTTGTCTGTCTTCGAATGCCGTGAAATAGTGGATGACGAAATGAAGAGTTAGAGAGTGGAAGCTGAGAGTCATGCTCCTTCCAGTTTCTTGACCTTTTGGGCCGTGCGGGTCGGAGTGGTGGTCCCTCTCCCTAGCCCGTTCTTTGTGAGGAGTAAATCAGAGACGTGGACGGTGATGAGTGTGGTGTTGGGTTCTGAGTCCATGCTCACCAGGTGTTCTCATTCTTTCTCCTTCCAAAATAAATGCCGTCTAGAGTAGTACTGCAGCATGTTTCCTAAAACAGATCACTTGACCGCATTTTCATTCCCCATGAGCAAAGCAGCGCCATCATTTTTTTTTAATCTGGCGAATATAAACATGGCCACCTTCACTTTACATAGTAAAAAGCTCAAAGAACCACTCCCTTACCTACCCACTTTTCCCTTCTGATGTAACCAAGTGGGCCATCAGCGTTCTGGGCCTACTTGGTGTCTTTTCAGCTGTATCTGCCTCTGCTTTCCTCCTCCAGCCTCACCACCTCCTGTGCTCCTCTCTGGGCTGTGCCTCAGGTTACCGCTTCCCTCATCTCACTCTGTCAGAGTAGGGCTTCCTTTCCCAACCTGTCATCTCCCACACCAGTGGTCCTCAAAGCAAGGTCCCCTCTCAAAATGAGTTCCGCAGAGGCTTCCGCATACATTCTCGCAGCGCCCAGACACCGATTCCCTTTGCACTATGAGGCACATACACTGCAGTTGCACACACTGGCTCAGCTCAGATCACTGGCACTTCACTTAGCACCTGTGGAAGCAGTGGCACCAATGCGCTTGCAGGTTTTTTTCAAAAGCCAGTTTCACTTAATGTTCTTGATAAAGGCGGTAAAAATTTTTAACCTTGTATGATCTCTGCTTTCAAAAACAAAAAATCCTTGTAATTTTCCAGTGACTACACGAAAAATGTACATAAAACACTATACAGTTGAGTTGTAAGCTGAGCAAACTGCTTTTCTCAGAGAATCCATTTTTGCTTGAAAGAAAAATAGACACATTATTGACATTTTAAAAATTCATAAAGTGATTCACCTACAGGAAAAGAAATAATATTCTGAGCCAAAAGTAAAATTTTGGAAAACTTACACCTACTACAGTGAGCATGACAGCTTCCCAATACTTAAATTTTTTCCTGATGAGACTAGTGGTGATAACAAGTGATTTTTGATAATGTGTGATGAAATGTGACAGTATTTGGAAGGTCTGTTTAATTCAGCGATTGCCAAATGACCAATGCATGTTATAACAAAAGTATGCACTTAAATGTAAAAGAGACCAATGGGTTTCAGCATAACAGTACTCGAAGTTTATGTGGTATGATTCTATCTTCTATACTGTAGCTAACTTTTAAGAAACTAGCACTTGTCAACTTTCCGTAGGTATTGCAGAATAGCCCTGATGATCTGAAAAGACTTTAAATATTCTCTTTTGTCCAACTACATGTCTTCATGAGGCCAAGTGCTCTTTCCTGGCCTCTGCTGAGACAGCCTATCTCAAGAGAGCGACTGCAACAACAGCGATGAAAAACCAGGGATTAGAGATTGGCAAAAATGTGAAACAAATGCCACTCTTCTTATATTTGTTTTGGAATATAGAGTTTATATTTTTATAAAAATTTGATTATGTATAATGGCTTACTGTTTTTCAGTTTATATGGTATCAAGATGTATTTTCAATGTTGTGTTTTGATTTCTAATATCATTCGATATAACTACCCGAAAAAGTTCTTTGGAATACATGATCGCTGATGAGTGGAGAGGAGTTCTGAGACCAAAAAAGTGGAGAGTTGTTTTATACAACCCCGATTACCTTCCTGCTCATACAGTATCCCAGGCTAAAGCTGTGATTTCTCACCTTCTTTCCACTTTAAATTTCGTATACTTTAAATTCACATTGTTTCTGTGTGCTTATTGTGTTCATCTTGGAGATGAAATGTCAACTCTTAAAGTCTCACAGGGGAAACGCTCTGAGACAGTTTTGCCTCTAACTCTGGGCCACCATGAGCCACTGTGTCTTTGGATTTATCCCATTGGATTCAGTGGCATACATATGAATACTATTCTCTAGAGGAATACCTTGATGGACCCAATGTTGTGCTAAGCCACACTTTGGCAGATGTGGCACCTTAGTAAGGAAGAGCTCAGAGTCTGGGGTTGGAGGCACAGGTTTCAAAATGAAATCATCTGTGTCCTCTCGGCTTTCAGTCAGTTTCTTCCTCAAAGGAGATGGTTCTGAAGTTGTCCTAATGAAGGCTACAGGGGAGTTCGTGAGGAACTGAGGCAGCAGACAGCTTGATGTGTGGGAGGAACGACAAGTAAATTGATCTGGCTTGACTTTGTTACAGAGAATATAGGCAAACAGAATAGCAAGAGCTGAGGCTGCACTGGTGAGATCAGTAGGACTGAATTAAATCTGTTCCAGGTAGTCCCACGGATACAAATTGAAGCAGCTGAGAGAGAAGATGACAAGCACTCTGTCAAGTGACACATACTCACTCTGGTAGTCTTGTTCAGGAGGACTGCTGCTGAACTCAGGAGAGTGACGTCCCACTCTTAAGAATGAGAGCCATGCTCCTTTGGTTAGTTCCTTTACCATGACATGGGCATCTTAGAAAGCTTGGTAAATGGAGTTGGTCAGAAGGCACCAGTGAGGGAAGCAGGGGACAGCAAGACATGGGGAAGAAGGGTGAGGGCCTGGAAGGAACTTCCTTTTCGCAGTAAGGACCAGAGCTCCGCAGGGCATTGCCCTGCTCAAGGACCTGGTGGAAACTGACCTGTGCCAGAAAGAAGGGATTTTCCAGACATCACTCAGGGGCTCTGGCCCCGGGTGGTGGCTCAGGCTGCTGGATGCACTTGGTGTTGGTGCTTTTGTTTTGTTTTGTGTATTTTGCATCTGGTTGAGCAGTTTACATCCTTTGCTCTCTGTTTTGAATAGAATTGATTTACATAAAATCTAAGTTAAAAGACCGCCAAGTTCATCTCTGGCTATAGGAGTACACAGTACCCAAGAGAAAAATGTGCTAAAGTGTAATCATTGTCTCTGACAGCCACACAGGCAGGGAGTACAAGAGAGTGAGCCCTAAGGACTCTTTTTTTTTTCTTCAAATAATACACGTTTTTATTAGTGCCTATTAATTTTACAGAACATTGGGCTTCAGTGCATTTGTTTTGATCATATCCCCTTCATTGCCCTTTCTTATACTCTTCTTCACCTTTCCTGTATTCCTTCCTCTTGTCTAATAATAGCTTCCCTTCTACTTTCATGTCTTCTTTCTTTAGACTCCACAAATTAAGGAGAACATGTGATACTTGCCTTTTCTGAGTCTGGCGTGTTTTATGTAATCGTGACCTCCAGATCAGTCCATTTTCCTGAAAATGACATCATTTCATTCTTTACAGTTGAGTAATATTCCATTATGCCTACTACATTTTATTTATCCATTCACCTGTTGACGAGCACTTGGGCTGCCCCTGTGTCTTGGCCATAGCAAATTGTGCTGCAATAATCGGGGTGTGCAGGTAACCCTATAGTGTGCTGGCTTCGTTTCCTTTGGATAAATACCCAAGAGTGCCAAGTTGGATTATACAGTGGCTCCACTTTTAGTTTTTTGAGGAACCTCCATACTAATTTCCATGGAGCTGTACTAATTATATATTTCTACTAGCGGTGTAGAAGGGTTCCTTTTTCTCCACATCCTCGTCAGCATTTATTGTTTTTGTACTTTTGGTGATAGCCCTTCTGACTAGGGTGAGATGGAATCTCATTGTAGTTTTGACTGCATTTTCCTAATGGCTAAAGATGGTCACCATTTTTTCATATACCAATTGACTGTACTTCTTTTGGGAAATGTCTATTCAATTAATTTACCTGTGTGTTGACTGGCTATTTGATTTTTTGCTATTTTTTATATATATTCTAGATTTTTTAAATTTTATTTTTATTAGTATATGTTTGCAGTTCAT